GTGCGGTGCTGTTGGTGAGCGTTCAGGGCATCGCTGTCAATGTGGATCCGGTTCTGACCTCATGGCTGCTGTTCCACCCTCAGAGAACCAGCGGCAGCAGACAGACGCAACAGGTACAACTCTGTGTGTCTGTGTGTGTGTCTGTGTGTGTGTGTGTGAGTGTGTGACGTTGCTGATGCTGGGTGATGCTTGCAGGTTTCCATGGTGATAAAGAAGAGGAGGGAGGATGAAGCATCTGTTGGCAGCACACCACTAACCAAACAACCCAGTAATCAGGCGTCAGACTACACCAGCAGTCCTGTGAAGACCAAGACTTATGACAGGTACACACACACACACACTCACAGACAGACACATACACACACGCGCGCACACACACACACACTCTCTCTCTCTCTCACACACGCACACACTCACAGACAGACACACACACACACAGACAGACAGACAGACAGACACACACACACACACACACACACACACTCACAGACAGACACACTCACGCACACTCACAGACAGACACACACACACTCTCTCACACACACACTCACTCACACACACACACACTCTCTCTCTCTCACACACACACTCACTCACACACACACACACTCTCTCTCTCTCTCTCACACACACACACACTCCCACACTCTCTCTCACTCACACACACACACACTCTCACTCACTCACACACTCTCTCTCACTCACTCACACACTCTCTCTCACTCACACACACACAGACACACTCTCTCTCTCACACACACACACACACACACACACACCATTACAGATGTGCAGATCATACGCAGGAAGCCTCACACAAAGGGAGACAGCATTTGTTCATAGTGTCCGTTTGTTCATCCAAGTTCGGTTTAATAAGAAAAAATGCGTTTTTGGTCATGCGTGCTTGCAACAGCATTTTAGTTTTAGTTTTCAAAGTTCTGTTCTGTTCATTTGCTGGTGTTTGGTAGATGTTCATTTGATATCCCATGTGCATCTTGTTAAAAAGCCATTTGAAACTGCTTTGTATTGTGAAGAGAGGCTGATGAGAATTAAAATGTGTCCCCAAACACTTCAGATCCTGCACCAGTAGTTTTACCAGAGAATTGCCTTTTTATCTTTCAGTTGGTGTGTTTTATTTGTTTAATACTTGTTGTATGCCTAACCTCTTGTCTTTCCACTTGAACCAAGGATATTTCGATCTAAAATACCCGATTCGAGCGTTTCTCCACAGATCAGGCTACTGTAGGTCTCTGGTGTGTCTACATGTACATGTGAACATAACAGTTTTAAATGCTGAGCTAAAAAAGAAAGATGTGAAACTACTCAAACATCGTGTCATTTGCGTGAGTGTGAGATCAGTGTTCTCAGCACATTTCACTAGGTTAGTAATGAGAAGTGGTTATAAAAATTTGATTGTTTAAAGTTTGAAAATGAAGAAACTAGGACATAAATATTAGTAATGTAAAATAAAATAATTATAATTTTATTAAATTATTTAATACTATTTTAAAATGGAATACTATAGTTGCAGTAGTAATATATTTCTTAATTTGTTTAATATTTTGTAAGTAATATATGAAGTTTATTTTATATATAGAAAGCGTTTGTATAAGCGTTTATATATAAAGAGCGTTTGTGGAGAGTCGCTCTGCTGCTTCATCAGGTGTCGTGTGGGAGCTTTGGGCTGGTTCACAGGAGCTGCTGGAGATGCTTTGACCTTCACACTGCAGATGTTGATCATTTCCCAGTGTAATCAAAAGCCTCTCGGAGTCCATGCGTTACTGCAGTGTGGTTTTCATTAACAGAAACACAACACCGATCTGCACACACACACACACAAATGCTGGTCTTAGCTCGACTTCCTTCTCTTTTCTCTTGTCAGTGAGTGAGTGTGTGTGTGTGTGTGTGTGTCAGTGAGTGAGTGAGTGTGTGTGTGTGTCAGTGAGTGAGTGTGTGTGGGTGTCAGTGAGTGAGTGTGTGTGTGTGTGTGTCAGTGAGTGAGTGAGTGTGTGTGTGTGTCAGTGAGTGAGTGTGTGTGGGTGTCAGTGAGTGAGTGTGTGTGTGTGTGTGTCAGTGAGTGAGTGAGTGTGTGTGTGTGTCAGTGAGTGAGTGTGTGTGGGTGTCAGTGAGTGAGTGTGTGTGTGTGTGTGTCAGTGAGTGAGTGAGTGTGTGTGTGTGTCAGTGAGTGAGTGTGTGTGGGTGTCAGTGAGTGAGTGTGTGTGTGTGTGTGTCAGTGAGTGAGTGAGTGTGTGTGTGTGTCAGTGAGTGAGTGTGTGTGGGTGTCAGTGAGTGAGTGTGTGTGTGTGTGTGTCAGTGAGTGAGTGAGTGTGTGTGTGTGTCAGTGAGTGAGTGTGTGTGGGTGTCAGTGAGTGAGTGTGTGTGTGTGTGTGTCAGTGAGTGAGTGAGTGTGTGTGTGTGTCAGTGAGTGAGTGTGTGTGGGTGTCAGTGAGTGAGTGTGTGTGTGTGTGTGTCAGTGAGTGAGTGAGTGTGTGTGTGTGTC